TCTCTCAGAACGGAACTGGAAACAGCAACGTGTTTGCTCAGCAACTAATCAGGGACAATTTTAAAAATAGCCATAACATACCATACATGCTGTCTAATTCAAAATAAAAAAAACAACATACACAACATGTAAATTATTGCACAAGAGAAAGGCTCAAAGTTTGCGTAAAATGCAATAGTATTGCCCCGATACAGATCATGCATTCAAACGGTGAGAACAAAAAGAAAATAAACAGGTGTGCTGGTGACAAGCACTTTCTTAATATCCTTAGCTTCCATTACTTTAATCACAAGGGACTAGAAAACCTCTACCGGGAGCCAGGGCGGGGAGGGGGGGCGTATTAATATACCTCTATTCAGTTTTTATATCGTTATTCAAGACTCGGTCACTGTGCCATTTTTTCATGTGTTTCTCCAGGGTACTGTACACGCTAAAAGGCATCTTACAAATTTCACATTTGTAAACGTCCTTTCCCACCTGCCCATGGGTTTTCATGTGCCGGGTGAGTTTGCTACTCTGGGCGCAGGCGTAGTTGCAGAGCTCACACTTATAGGGCCTCTCGCCTGTGTGGCTCCTTCTGTGGACAGTGAGATTACTACAGTTCTTGAAGACTTTCCCACAGTACTCACAAGTGTCGCTGCGTCTGCCCTCTTTTGAGCTGGGCCTTCCAGGGCCCGGGCCACTAATATGGGGGGTGCTCCCTCCGCTTCCCGTGCCGCTGCGGCCCGAGATCCCTCCGTCCAGCTCCCCCGGCGGCGTGGAGAAGCGCAAGCTGCCGTTCTCCGACGAGTGCTCGGAGGAGGAGGCGAAAGGCGATTGTCTGGAGTCGCCGAAGCTGAGGAAGGGGTCCTTGAGCTGCCGCGAGGCAGCGTAGCCGGCCAGCCACTGGGAGTAAACGTTTTCGGTGTTGGGCATGGCCGCGGCGGGCAGGTCAAACTCCTTCTCGAGCTTGATGCGTTTCGAGAAGGGGCTCAGGGAGCTGGGGCTACCCAGCAGCAGCTTTTTGGACAGGCCTCCGGAGGCGGACTCCCCCGGGGAGCAGCCCCGGCCGTTCACCGCCCCATCGTCAATGCGGTCGGACTCGCCGGCCACCGAGTCTTCGTCGCAAGTGTCTCTGTGTACCTCGGGCTCGGAGAGGTGCCCTCGTTTATGCTTCTCCCCGAGGACCTGGTGGAAGGCCTCGCTGAAGTGCTGCATGGAGCTCAGGACCATACCTTGCATGACGTCCGGCATCGAGCGGCTCTCCTCCACGGGCCGCGAGTTGTTCTCGTGGTGACGGGCCGCCTCCAGGTTCATCCCGAAGCCGTAGTCCGGCCTCTCGTTCTCATTCAAGTCCTCCTCCTCTTCCTCCTCTTCCTCCTCCTCCTCTTCCTCCTCCTCCTCCTCTTCCTCGTCCCCGTTCTCCGGGATCATGTTGGGGTCGTTCTCACTCTTGAACTTGGCCACGACGGACTTGAGGGCGCTGCTGGCGCTGCCGACGAGGTCGCTGGTGCCGGGCTCGGGGGAGCTGGCCGTGGAGAGCCCGTCGTCCGACTTGACCGTCATGGGGGACGACTTGTGCATGTGGGTCTTCATGTGGCGCTTCAGCTTGCTGGCCTGCGTGCACGCGTGGTCGCACAGGCTGCACTTGTAGGGCTTCTCGCCCGTGTGGCTCCGGCGGTGCACGACCAGGTTGCTCTGAAACTTGAAGGTCTTCCCGCAGAACTCGCACGACTTGGACTTGATGGGCGGCTGGGAGGGAGGAGGCGCGGACTGGAGGGGAGGCAGGGGCGGCGTGGCCAGGAACGGGGGCTTGCTGCCCGGCTGGAAGGGCTGCAGCAGCCTTTGCATAGGGCTGGGCCGGCTCGGCGACAAGGGCGGGCTGGACGTGTTGCCGGCCAGCTCCCGCAGGCGCCGGGAGAAATCCATAGCCGGCGGCTCCATCGCCATGGGGTTCAGTCGCAGCACCCTGTCAAAGGCACTAGGGTGATGGGTGGCCAGAGCCATTTCTTCCGCACCCAGGCGCTCTATGCGATGCGGATCCAAATGGTGCCTTGGGGGAGGGCTAAAGAGGGGAGGCGTGGGTGGGAAGCGCCCTTCGCCCAGGCCCGACGCCTCTCGCGAGACCGAGCCGGGTATTCTGAGCAGGTTAAAAGGGTTATTGTCTGCAATGTGAATCCCGTGGAGAGGTGGCTGGGAAGGGCACTCTGCACCTAGTCCTGATGGGATACCAACCCGTGGCGTCAGGGGGCTGCCGTGCTCGCTTTCTAAGTAGATCCTTAAGCCGTGCGTGTTCTGTGCGTGTTGCAAGAGGAACCAGGCGCTGTTGAAAGGCTGTTTACAAGTTGTACACGTGTAGCTGCTGGGCTCATCTTTACCTGCAAAATAATACAACAGTAACATGAATGTTTAATTACTGAATTGCTTATCAATGATTGATAGCTTTTTTTTTTTTTTTTTTCCCCACCTCATCTTTCTTTTCTGTAACATTAAATCTAAATGGGAAAGCAGAAATCCCGGCCAATGTGTAATTCTGAGGCAGGGCGGGCGGCCGATATGGTTAACCATAGCCAAACTGCGCCAGCTTCCTGCCTTCCTCTCTTCCCCAAGGTTCAAAACTCAATCCAAACAGGTAACCGCAGTTAAAAGAAAAAAAAAAAAAGTGATAAAAAAGACGATTAAGTGAATTAATCTCAGCTATGACTCAGGCTGCAAGCGCCTGCTGTATACACTGCACGAGGCGAGCTGAGCGCTCCGGGGACACCCCGTCCGAGCGCTCCAGCCCCGCGCAGAGACTGTGAGGGGGAAAAGGGGGAAAGGAGCCAAAGGAGAAACGAAGGAACACGGAGCACGCGAGGGGGGCTGGGAGGAGGAAAGGGAAAGATGCCGCCCGGCTCGCCGCGCAGCTGGAGAGGGGCCAGGCGACGCTTCCCTCGCGCCGAGCGGAGCCTGAGGAGGCGGAATGCCCCTCTGGCGAGTGGCGGGCTCGCTCCGTTTCACCCTCGTTTATTCTCAGAGATAACGTGGGCTTCATAACAGAGCAAGAGGCTGAAAAACGGCTAAACAAAAAGCTGGCTAATAATGACGGAGGAAAGGGCTCCCTTCTAATATATCGCAAAACAAGGGAAATAAGTAACTTTTGGGGGGCTGTGTGCAAGCAAAGCGTAGTATGAGATGTGCGAAGGTGAGTGCGTTTTTACTGATTACTCTTGATTTTGTCAATAAGTCACTTTAACCCTTTAACCCTGGGACATATATTTTTCCTAAATGTTGGTAAATTGCAATTAGAGCTAAGATGAGTATAAACACTTACTTCCAAACAGTTCTTACAGAGTTGCTATTTAGTGATTAAAAAAAGAAAAAAAARAAAAGCTCCTGAGATTTGCTGAGAAACAAAAATACAGCAGCCTTCCAAAACAAGCAGAGCTTACGGTGTGTCTGAGTGCACAACGGACCCGGGGCCTGACCTGCAATTTACTTTACGATGCATTTATAATCCCACTCCATATAAACCACTCATAGGTAAATCTCTTTACAAGATTAAATGGTAGCTGCCCAAATTAGGATTCAAATATTTGCCTAATACGAAGAGAAGGGGAGGAAATAGGGGGAAAAAAAATACAAGGCAGATTTGGAAGGAAAACATTCTATCTGCAAGCACCTTGTTTTCCACCTCCCTTGGCAGCAGAAACAGAAAAGCTTCGTATGGGTATTTTCCCTATACAATGAGCTGAATAATGACTTGGGAATATGACTGACAGCCAACCTATAGTGCCGGCTATAGCGACCCATCGCAGCTTCCCTCTGCGCCTCCAGGTTCTTCTCTTATTATACATTTGGCCTGACAATCTGAATTGGGTGAATAAAGCGAGATCCAACCATCTATTGCAGGCATTTAACACCTTAGTCCCTTTAAAAGCTCCTGGAATAATATTTAACATTTCATTCTTCAGCTGAAGCCGGCATTTGAATGAAACGCGTTGCCGTGTTTAGTGTGTGCCAGGCATGGGAGTGCAGATAAATACCTAAATCTGTCGCAAATAGAGCAAAATTCAATTGGATTTGCACATTCCTGCGCTCATTTGTGTGCTCAAAAAAAAAAAAAAAAACCCCGAAATGTGAAAATTTTATCTTGTTTTGCTGTAATGAAGTGGAAGCTTTTAACAACGTGGTACAAGCTACGTGATCAGGCTGCAGCATGCTAACAAACACAATGCTACCTTGCTTCCCTACTTTATATATTAGGTCAGAGAAAATAGCATTTTATCTTATAATGAGGATACAACATACAGTGTTCACTATCACATTTTAGTATTCCCATCAACTAGATATTCTGGATCGTAAGGGCAGCTAGTGTAATCATAATGTCAATGAGAGGGGCTGTTACGACTGAGACTAAAGATTACACGGAAAAAGCTGCTTTGAAACTGGTAATTATTACCAGTCCACTAATAGCAAATGATGCATTACAGTTTCACCATATAATCTGTATTTCACTCAGCTACTGCCAGTGCAGCCTTATTATATTACAGCGCTCACAAATTCTAAATTCCTAAACTACAGTCATCAATAAATGTGTTACTTGCCATAATTTGCAAAATTACTTTGTTCATAACATCTTCGACTGTTATAAAGACTAGAATTGATTTCCTGCATGGCAAAATCAGGGCTACATTGATTTAGTGGAGTGTAAAATGCATTATTATTCTTCATTTGCTTTTCTGAAAAACAAGTTTCCAATTCACCATCCGTGTTTGGTAATCAAGATAATAATTTAAATTTAGAATAATGTTTACGCACACAACTTCCCCCATCTCCCACAACCTACCACTTGGAAAGGAGCAACGCGAAACCAGGAAATAAAGCCAAGCCGTGAAAGGGTTAAAATCCACCAGCGATTTGCCTCTACCTCCCGCTTTGAAGAGACACAATTTCTAATTTGTCTATTAGTGCTTGATTAATTATGAAAGCTATCGACTGACCACATTACCACCTGGAGATATGTTCCAGTCTAAGGCAGCCCTGCCAGGCTGGGAGAACGATGGCCATAACCCGCACGTTCCCTGCGTGGAGCGTGACGGGGCTCAGAGCGCCCCGGGAAGCCGGGGTGGCGCAGGGGGACCCTCGGAGCGCCGCTCCGCTCCCGGTGGGATGGCTGGGAGAGATCCCGGTGCCGGCCCCGCGGGCTCCGGGCGCTGCCGAGCGCTCCGGGGAGAGGAAAGCGGTTCCGTGGACGAGCCCGGGCAAAGCCAGCTCGGGGCGAGGTGTTCGAGGCCCTCCCGGCGATCCGCAGTCAGGAGCTGCAGCTCCGCAGGCTCCACAAGCTCCCCAGTAACACCGACCAAACAGATARAGCAACGAGCCCGAACAGACCGGGACCAGCGCCGGGAGCACCCGCTGCTCGCCAGCACCCGCTCCGCCTTGCTCCTTGGCACTGCCAGGAAGACAYRGCCYTGCCGAATTCGCCRGGATCATCCRTGCGGAGCGGCTCTTGGCTCGGCCRAGCCCTRGGCCACCCCAGCGCCCGGSARSTGCCCGAGCCGCGGYGCYGAGMWGCAGAAACACAGCCAGGGGATGGAAACCGAAGCCAGGAAATTCGGAAAGGAAGAAGATTCCTGTGTCTGCGGCTGAGGAGAAGGAGCTGGAGGGGCCTGAGGAGCTCCGTGTTGCCGGGCGGCCTCACCTGCTCCTGCCAGGGCCCCTCGGAGCAGGGCCGCTCYGGGGCACGCGGGGAAGGGGACGTCCCGCCAGTCCCGCTCCACCAGCCGCCCAGCGCCCCGCTGCGCTATTCCCACCCTGCAGGACGCCGGGTTATCCGAGCGGCCCTGCCACAGCAACAGGGCCTCCACATGGGTTTCCCAGAGGCCTCCTGGAGACCTCATGCTATCTGCATACGCAATGGATCACCACCAAAGCTGCCCTCCTTGGCCTCCAGAAGCTGGGCTTGAACCCAAAGACCAACTTCCTTTGGATTCAAGGAATTACAGTCAGAAGAGACCACCAGATCGTGTACTCCGACCTCTTTTATATTAAGTTWCACTCAACTATGCTGCAAAGCCACCAAGACACTCTCTTTGGCTGAAGCACCACCAGTCCTGCCGACTGTCTTCAGGTGGAGCACAAAAATCCAGAGAAATCCACTCAAACCAGATCAGAAGAGATGAAGCGACCAAGAAGCCACGTCTCCCCTCCTCAGCTAGTTCCCACAGTTAATCATCCTCAGTTACACGCATCTTGTTCCTATCTGAATTCCCCTGGCTTTAATTTCCATCCATTGGCTCTTTCGCTGTTTTTCCCTGATACATTGAAAGCCTTTTGGCAAGCAGCAAGTCCCCTCGAGTCCCCCAAGGCCACAGGCACACTCGGAAATCAAGGTACATTGCAGAATTTCTTCCTTTTTTTTTTTTCTAAATTAAAGTGCTTGAGCCCCTTTCGTTCCCTCCCTGTCCTCCAACGCTTCAATCACTTTTATGGATCTTTTCTGGACCTTCTTGAAAGCGCAGGCTGCCGAAAATATAGGGGTTTGCTTAAATGTGTGATACTCCAGTGTTAAGAAGCTTCCTGAAATCACAGTCCCATTCATATTGGCTACCCCCACGTTTGTGCACCCATTTTAGCCCTTCTCACATCAGTGTCCTCCTGGGAATTTCTGGGAATTGGGGTTGAGCTGGCTAACCAAGATGTCCACCAGGGCAGTAGCGACTTATTCACTCCCAAGGCCCTGGCGACATGATGACCACCACGGAGCCTGGCACCAATGCCCACCGTGCCCACCRACCACCTCTCTGGAGGTCCCCAAACCCTCCAGGATGCCACCCCGCGCCCCGTGCTCTGGTTGTCCCTGCTGGAGCAGCGGGTTGGACTAGATGATCTCTAGAGGGCCCTTCCAGCCTCAGCCATTCTGCGAGTCTGTGACCCTCGCTCAGGCCCCTCCGGCTCACCCCGACACGTGCCAGCTCGCCACCCGCCCAAGGCGGCGCCGCCGGCACCGCAGCGCCCGCCCGCTCTAGCCAGGGTGTCACGCAGCACCACACGGAGCGCCTCGCAAAGTCCATTGCATCCACATTTATCAGCCAGGCTTGTCATCCTGAAGAATGAAACCACGTTTAGTTGACACCATCTATATTCCATATATCTAAGCTGACTGGCGTGAATTATATTTCTATCCTTTAATTCGTTATCCATCGAATCTTACACCGGCTCTTCAATTATTTTGCCAGAACAGATAGGACAAGTGCTGCCAGCTTCTCCTTCCACCACCCCAGCCATCTACTGACCCAACCCTCCTGCGTGTGCAGTATCTCCCCTCTACGCAGGCTTTAATAAAAACAAGCATCACGATGCCAACTCTTTAGGGATTCTCGGGTGCAAGTTGTCA